GTGCATCAAAAATTAATGGAGTATTGTTTTGATGCAACCTGTCTCACTTTAATGATGTGTCTTTTTAACTAATAGCTGCCGTATGTAGCTGTGGGCTTAAGCATATCAAACTACTATTATTTGAATCTGGCGAACTAATAATCATGCCTTTGTCTGTAGGATAAGTATTTGTCTTTTAACTTGTTAAAAAATATGCTGCATGCCCCTGATAATGACTTTTACATAAGTGGAAGTGTCAACACAAAAAAAAATTTACAAAGATCTAATTCATTAGTTTGTGAAACCAGATGGTTAGTAGTCAGTAGCAAGACCACATACTTCATGAATATAGAGAGTTTTTTCTCCTTTGTCCTTCTGCCTACATCTGTAGCAGACTAAGCCTCAGAACGAGGAGAGTACTGTGAGATCTTTTGGAAAAGTATACACATCCATTAGAATCAAGTTGGGGGAGGGGCTGCCATTCGTCCTACTTCCCTTTATTTGTCTATTTCCTCCCTCAGTTTGCTTTTTTGCTATGTTAATAAGTGGAATAATTTATTTTCAAGTCACTTTTCTATTCAACCCTACTCCCCTTCTAATTGCACTAGAATTTTGTTTTATACAACTGCCCCTGAAAGAGATTTTAAAATTGAATTTGCTCTGTTTTTAATAAGGCTTTAGGTAGTCACTTTCCTTATTTCCTACAAATACTGATGCTTTCGGCATAAGCTTTATTTTTCTAATAGGTACACATCCCAAGGACAGTTTAGTGACAATACATTTTCTTCTAGAATATTTTCCTAACTCTCTGTCAACTCCCAACACAGACAAAAGGCAAAATTTCCTTGCATTTGCACCTATAATGTGAAAAATGAATTTATAACAAGCACTCCTATCAAAACTATATTCAAGGGGATTTTTTTTTCTTTATCAATTGTGAAGATCACAAATAGATTAAATTGGCTTTAATTGGCTTCGTCTCACGTCTGATAATCTGCTGTGGTTTTATAGACTTGTCCATAAAACGTGACTATCAGATACATTCCCCCTTTCGTCTTTTCTGTCATCAGAAGTTACATCAAATCAAAATTTGCAAAGAAATGACTTAGTGACCTTTTATATAAAGGATATATTTTATATTTTTATGTGAAAATAGAGTCTTTTAAGGGATTCCTGCTATTCAGTTGCTAAATTTGCCTGAATAATGTGCTGTGGATTTAGGGATTTTTTTTTAAACATTTCTTTATTATCTCTTTGTGGTCACAAGCTTTTAAAAACGTTTTCTGAAGGTTTCTATAATGTCTCCCACAAAACCACAGCCCTACCAGGGCAAACCCCACTGCCTGTCAGGGCCTATGCTAACTATGGACCAAGCAATGTATTAACTTGATACCTGTTTCTGCTAAGTTTATTTGGAACTTTTCCAAACCTAACCACCCTGCTTGGTCTTTAATTCAGGGGTGGCAAACCCTCTCTGTAAAGGTCCAAATAGTAAATATTTTAGGCTTTGTGGCTCATATATGGTCTCTGTTGTGTCATATTCATTCTATTTTTCTCCTCCTGTTCTTCATGTCACAACTCTTTAAAATGTAAAAAGTAATTCCTAGCTTATAGTCTATACAAAAACAAGATGTGGGCCTATTTGATCAGGTTCCAAATCACAGTCATTGGATGCAGACATGCAACCCTGGAGTGTGTGGGGGGGGGATTATTTGGGGCACTTGCTTTATATAAGTCAGCAACAAACTCCCTAGCTAAAGATTAGCAAGTAAAAAAAAAAAATGAATTCTACCAGTTTGATCTATTCCTCGTTTACTTATATTTTCCATCATGGCTAGGTTCTTGATTTTTTCCCAAAGAAAAAGAGAAAGAAAGAAAAGATTTAAGAAGGGGGAAAGGAAGGAGGCAGAGGGAGATAGAGAGAGGAAAGAAGAGGAAGAAAGGGAAAGCCAAAAAAAATAGAAATAAAGCAGAGAGAGAGAAAAAAAGGAGAAAGGACAGAAAAAGAAAACAGGAAGGGAGAAAGAGGTAAAGAGGGAGAAAGGGGGAAGAAAAAGAGAGAAAAACAGAGTGAGCCAGTATATGGAAGCAGGAGCACAGTCTCTCCTTTTCCTTAGGGCCAGGCAGCTCTTAGAGGCACCTCCCCAGCTCCTTTCAAACATCGAGGCTGCTGCCCAGCTACTGATCACCATCCCAAGAAGTGAAATGTGGGCTTCACATCTGAAAACTTCCACTTGGTTATTCACCAAGTGAAATGGAACACGAGATTCAGGGCCCAAGCAAATGGCTAATGTTTTCTTTGGGACACATGGGCTATGTCTACCCAGGGAAAACTTTGATGTACTGACTGACTCCAGAGCATATGATTAATGTATATATAGGGCAAACCAGGATAATTCAGACCTTTTTTCTTCCACAGGAGGTTTTCGGCCGGAATTATCTGGATGGTTGCCTCAACTCTCCACTAGCCTTTGCCAGGATAAGCACGGCTAGTGTAGTATGCAAGTGACAGGGACCACTCCCTCTCTCCAAGGTTCCCTTCAACACCCACACCCTGGGCAGCTGAGCATAGTGCGATCTGTCCTGACATGCATTCCTTCTGGGGGCAAATGTAAATTCTCTCTAATGAGTCTCTGAGAAGCCCCAAAAGCCCTAAATATTGCATTCTGCTTAGCTGTCAAATATAATAGACGGGTGGAAGAGAACCATACTATAGGGGGAAAAAAGTCACCCTGTTTCCTTCCCCATCCCAGAAAGAGGTTAGGAAAGCCAAAGCCCATGAGATCCCAATCAAATTAATTAGTATTATGTATATAGTTTCTCTTACAACTGCAGACAACTGTGCTATAATTTTTTTTAAGTAGAGATATGCATAAATAAAGCCTTTGTTTTTAAAATCATAGTTTAAAAGCACATTTACATTACATCCCAAAACATACAAATAGTGTTCCTAGAGGTGACAGAATGCTCCTGACAGGGTTTGTACTTATCAATTTTAAAAAATTAAATTGCAAGCTGCAATTAATGAGAGAAAAATACTACTCAAGATAACCCCTTGGTTAATGATTTTGTAAAGAATATTTCTATAAAATTAACAGCTCACAATTTATTTGGTAAAACTATTTTCATGGACTCCTGCACTGATAGCATGATTGTGTGTTTGGGTTTTGTTCTGTTTTGTTTTGAAGGAAAGGTGAAAAGAATGGGAAAGATGCATGATAGTTTATTTTACTGTATCTTACAGATCCAACTTCTATTGATGAAGCTTTCCACATAACTTCTTTCTTTTTGGGAGCAGAAAGAAAGGAAGAAAATGAAGAGTCAGAACTGTTGATACATTGGGATAATATTTTTCCACTCTATTGAAACCTCCTGCCTTTCCTTCCATTCCGTTTTACCAATTATCTAAGTGATAATTATAGAGTGATAGTTTCCCCATTGCTACTTGTGTGGTGTTTTTTGTTTTATTTTGTTGTGTTTTTGCAGATTTCACTGCTGACTTTTTCCCCTTGAATACGTAATCTCTAAAATAAAACATTAAAAATCCTTAAGAATTTCCCTCCTGAGTTAAAAACTGCCTTATCTCCTCAGATACAGCCGTAACTACTGCATGAAAAGTCCTAAAATGTATCACATCAAAACCAAAACAGCAGTAACAACAAATTGTTAAATCGGCAATTCTATGTGTTATCTCTTAAAAAGCTTTTTGTTTATCTGTAGGGTGTGTCGAAAGTTTGCTCATTTTCACTTGTGGAAGTTTTCTTGTTGCCAAGTGGTGGGGAAAAAAAACCCTGGAAAAGAGAGATCATCTGTAAAATATACATCTGTAAAATAAGTTTCTTTTCAAATGGCTTGTACCTGGCCGTTTGGTGCCCCCACACTATGTGCTGAATGCAACTCCTTGAAAGCAGTCTGTAACCTTGGGCAGATCCACAGTAACAAATGTTGCTATCCTTTTGTAAGCACTGCTTCTGCTGGAGGGCATTGTACATTAGACAAGGCCTTGTGCTCTGCTTAGTAAAGACAGCTCTCTGGTACGGCACCTGTGTCCAAGTCCCCATTTGTTAACACGTGTGTGTTTCCCTTTTTGGCAGATAAGACTTTGGGAAGCATGATTGCAAAGGAATTATTCCGTGGGATAAACAAATCTAGAGTTAGTTGAGTGTTTTTATACCATGAAAGAGCCATAACATATTCACCTCCCTTTCAGAATTGCTCCACAAAGTAGGGCAAAGACTTACTTCTCAACTGATAGATTCCATCTCCTTCACCATTCATTCTGCATCATCCCCCATGTACAACTCTACCCTACACTTTCCCTTGGAACAAAAAGCAGCTGGTTCAAATTAAACTTATGAGCACAGACCACTTCCCTGTCTTTAGGTTTGAAGGGGAAAATGGAGAACCTGAGGTTACAAATGACAGAAGGTATTCTGAGAAACAAGCTGACTATGATTCTAGAAGAGATTTAGAAGTTCTCTCTCAAGTAGTTAGTATACATAGCCCAACTACTTGTTTAGTAGATGAAAACTCGGGGCCATATTTTTTTTGTCAATTAAAAATAAATAATATTTATATAAAAGAAAGAAAACTAAGGTGGAAAAGCAAACCTAACTCATAAATACACTAGCCCTACATTTATTAAAAGGCTCTGTTTCTCTTTTCATTGACCCGTTGATTGCTTGTTTTTAGAGTACTAGCCTGGAAGCCCACCTTAAATTAAATGATTAAATAAATAAAAATCACTGAAATACACCTAAGCTCTGAAGAACTGTTTATGTTAGCCAACAGAACACTGTAAGTAATGATGAGGGAAAAGAAAATAAAATTTTTAAACATTTGGTGTTTAAATTTTCTTATTTTTAAGGAAATCAGTTTCCTGAAAGTGATTTTTTCAAGAAAAGAAAATGCGATGGACTTTAGTGAAAGACTGGATCTTTGCTATGCTAGAGTGAAAACCTGATATTTTAAAGACTGGCAATGTCTTTGTTTTACTCTTTCTCTCTTTCTGTGATTTGTAGCATACATTGAAGATCTCACAAGATGTGTTGAACAAAGCAGAAGACTTATTATCGTGCTAACTCCAAACTATATTCTCAGAAGGGGATGGAGTATTTTCGAGCTGGAAAGCAGACTCCATAACATGCTAGTCAGTGGAGAAATCAAAGTGATTTTGATTGAGTGTACAGAATTAAAAGGGAAGGTGAATTACCAGGAAGTGGAATCACTAAAGCGCAGCATCAAACTTCTGTCCCTGATCAAGTGGAAGGGATCCAAAAGCAGCAAATTAAATTCTACATTTTGGAAGCACTTAGTATATGAAATGCCCATCAAGAAGAAAGAAATGTTATCTCAGTGTAATGTTCTGGACTCTGCAGAGCAAGGACTTTTTGGAGAACTCCAGCCTGCACCCTCTATTGCCTTGACCAGTACCTCAGCCACTCTGGTGTCATCTCAAGCTGATGTCACTGATTTCCACCATTCAGATTCAATGCAAATGAGGCACTGTTGCAGAGGTTATAAACACGAGATGCCAGCTACCTCCTTGCCAGTACCTTCCTTAGCCAACCACCACACTTATTGTAACCTGCCTCTGACACTACTCAATGGACAGCTACCCCTTAATGATACCCTGAAAGATACCCAGGAATTTCATAGAAACAGTTCCTTGCTGCCTTTATCATCCAAAGAGCTTAGCTTCACCAGTGATATTTGGTAGTGAAAAGCCTGAATTGTTCTGAACAGCTATATGAACATACAAAATTTCTGCTATACCAAGCATAAACTGCGCCTAATAACATTGAGGTGCTGAAAAAGCATTTGAAGAAAAAGGCACAGAAATTGCTTTTGTACTTAAATATTCTTGTTTACGTTTCAAGAATAGTGGGAGGAAAGAAGGATATGCTTTTGTAGTATGGCACCTTGTTCTGATGTACAGTTTTGATTTCTTCCTGAAAAAAATAAATAAATAAATAAAGTCCTGTTATTTTAGAGTAGGCTTTATGATACCACGGATACTACAAATTTGGTAGGTAAGTTGTCTTCCCCATATTTATTAATATTTCAGTATTTACATGTTTTTTGAAATAAGGAAAACAAAAAGACTAATTGAATTTGAAAATTCTGAATTAAGTTTAAGAGGAAAAGTAAACTTCTATCGAGTAACGGAAAAATCAGGAATTATCAAGAAAGAAATTTTGAGGCACTCCAACAGGAAGATTGTTTGTAGAGGAAGATGAGTTGAGAAAAAATGTGATTGAAACTTTTATAACTGCTTCAACATCATGGACAACTTCTGTAGACTAAATCAACAGGTCATAACAGCTTTTAGTTTCATTAGGGAAGCACGTCTTCTATAGGCAAAATAATAGGTAGGTAAACAATGTGCATTTCTTAAGCAAATGAATAGATAGGCTGTGCATTCTTTTAGGATGATTTTGAACAATGCTGTGGCTCTCTAGCATATTTCAAAAGTTTTACAACTTTGAAAACACATTTTAAAGTGCATATTTTATTGTTTGCTAACAAATTCACATTTGGAAGTTTTTCCCAAATGGTCTCCTGACCTATACAAAAATGTGGACATCTTTCTACTTTTTTTTCAGCATCGTTGGAGTTTGAATTTAAATACATATTGACTGCAAGTGTCAGCTATTGAAAAAAAAGTAATACAACAGTATTCACAGATGAAGTGCTAAATGATTCAAGTCTACTAGTGGTAGAGCAGCAATTGCAGAGATTCTCATCTACAATATAGTTGTGAAGCAGACTATTCTATAAATACATAGTATCTGATTGGCCATGTGTGCAAGGCTTCTGCAGGAGTATCTCTATTCCCAGTGCTTCTAAGAGTATGTTTAATAGACTAAACTTCTTCACCCTCACATAGTGACTATGACTGTATTATACCAGAAAATCCCCGTCAATAATCTAAGATATTGCCTATTTGCTATATTTATTGTGGATTACTACTTTATGTTCTTTCCAATTAATCAAATTTGGTGTGCTCTCCACCTAGACACCTGTGGGGGTCAATTGTTCAGTTTGATTCTGGCATTTAGCAATGGTTCTCAAATCATGTTCTTGGACAAATATAAACAAAGACAAGTGTACACAGTGTGTAAAAATACAGAATTGGTCCATCCCTTGTAGTTGTGATACCCAAATGTATAAGAGAACACTAGATAATATGCTTTATTTCTTGCAACCCCTTTTCTGTATTGATTCTCTGTGAGCCATGAGTTTTGCTCATAGTACTTGTTTCTCTGTTACTTTTCTGTATCCAGCCATTCAGAAAATCCATTATGCACCAACAGTATGTGAAAGCTTAGCAGTGATACATATTCATTTCACAACAGGACAATTAGCTCTTCTTTGAAAAGTCCTGTTCAACTTATGTCGGTGTTTCATAGATGTAATTTTTATTGAGAAAGGTGATTTTGCTTCTGTAAAAGCTATAGGTATTTTAAAATGGAAATTTATCAATTCTGAACTGTTTTCTAAGTACTGTAAAGTTGTATTTACTCTAGTTGTTCTGTACTGCTATGTGTAATTACTAAATTAATAATATGCATGAACTGAGTAGTATATATTTAAGTGACCAGTTGTACTTTTTATTTTTCATAGAAATCTACATTAATTCAAGTAGAATGTTCAGTGGTATTTTTAAACTAACAGTTCTGTATTGAGCATGCCAGTTCTGAAAATATAACATGGGTCTCTCTGCTTCCTTTATTTACAATGATTAAACGTGGGTAGCAATTTGAGTTGGCTGGCCACAATGTGTCCTTTCACTACTAGTAGGTACTCAAAAACAGAGCATTCACACTTGTGCTGGGGAACTTGACAAGAAACCTTTTCTGCCATTTTCAGGAACCAATGTATACACTATCTATAAAAATTTATTTCTAGATGGCAATTCAAAATTTAATTTTCATCTGAGATTTTTAGAAGATATGGCCGATAAGGCTATAATAAGTATTTAGTCTAGAACATGATGTATTCTTCCAGTGGCTTTCACAGAGGGAAATTTTTCCCTTAATTTTTCACTGAAACGGATTTTGGAAATCTAGAAAAACACTGGAAAAACTAGTAATCATACATTCATAACAAATTTATCATTATGTTATTGTATGTAAGCATATATACTTCTAAAAACAGGTTGTTTTAAGGTGAAACATTCTGAAAATATCAGAAATGGTGAGACAAATGAAAAATCCACAAAAGCAATAGATACATAGAGAATTAAATCTGCATTGGGAACAAACTATGCTCAGGGAGATGGACAACATGGGCATGGGTTTAACTGGGCAAAATATGAAATCTTGCAGGTTTGGTAACTATTGATTCCAATCTATGAACACTTTGAAAGGTAGCTGAATGATTCCCGAAAAGAAGTGTCTCCTCACTGCCTCTAAGCCTTTATTGAAGTAGCTTCAAATCTGTTTATTCAAAAATGTGGATATAAGGACACTTACAGGCTTCAGGTAAGACTTGAGCCCAAGGTATAAACGGGAAAGTTTGACATTTTGTTTGAGGATTGATGGTTAACATTGTGGGGCTTTAAAAAGAGGAAACAGTGCAATCAGAGGACAAAACAGAGTTCACTTATGAAAGAGATATTTATAGAGGACTTCTCGAGGACATGGAAATGAGTAGTATTCTAAGGAGTATTTCTGCAACAGGTTGGAAAATGGCAATTGTGAGAAAGAAAAAAATTATGGCAAGAAAGGGAAGGATACTCCTTGACCTGACCCACTTGATGTTTGAAAGGCTTACAAGAGTATGAAACTACTGGTTTAAAGCATTTACTGCCTTTTGTCAATTTATTTTCAAATAGGTTGGGTTTTTTTTCTTTCTTTCTTTATTTTTTCCCAGTGTTTCCAGAAAATTGAGTAATTACCAAGGGAAATATCCTCAAAATTGCACCTATAAATCTTTACACTTCTTATATTCATTTCCCAATGCGAGGTAGTGAACTGATAAAACCAGACTCAAGTTAAGACAGAAAATAGTTCCATAGTGACCAGTTAAGTTTAAACTTTTGCAATTGTTGCTCTTTTCTGGGAGAGAATTTAATGTTGAAAATTATCTGGCTCCAGCTTCCCTATTACTCATGCATTTTTGTTCAAAGATATCTGATAGGAGGTCACAGTGTTGAGCGTTAAGACTCTCTGATATATGTATGGAGCAGTTTGATAAACAATAATTCACTTCAAACTCTCATATCAAACTTGCCTTTTCTTAGAACTGAAATCAACCACAGACAATTTAAGAACGTTATTCGGCACTCCATTTAATTACTGTGAGATCAGAACTTGTAAAATCACCTACACCCATCTAAACTTGTCTTCCCAAATGCTCACTGCTGTTTGCTCAACCCCATTTTCTCCAGATGGTACTACAGTCAATCATGAGCATGCATTGACTGTTCACTGTGTACTGGCCACTGCATCAAGTATAATAAAAATGTTTTTAAAAATTAAAGTCCATGTTCTCAAATAGTTTACACATCATATGCATGATAAAAAGGGTTATTTGTAAAACACATTCCAGTGTAGGAAAATTAATATTGTACATACAGAGTAGATAAGTAAGGTGGGGCAATTCACTTCCAACTTGGGCAAGAGCTACGTTTGGAATAGGGGGAACAGTAGTGAAGAATGGGAATTTCCCAAGTGCAGAAAATAGAACATGTGGAGATTGAAGGAAAAATAAATAAGTCCTATTTAAGAGAAAGCAGCATATTTGGCCAGCAAGAGCAAAGGTCTGTGTGAGGACATAAGAAATAAAGTTGGGAGACATGCTAGATCATTCATCTCATGCAAGATGCAGGAATAATCGGGGGGGGGGGGTTTGGAGGCAGGGAGACCAGCTAGAAGGCTGTTGTCATAATCCAGGTATGAAGTAATAAGAGATGGATACTCTCAGAAAAAAGGTATATCTGAGGAGAAAGAGAAAGGGGCAGGATGTGCTAATGCAAAAGTGGAAACTGATAGGAAAAAAAACAGTTAAAATAAGACTTCAAGGATCAAGAAAACCAGTTGTATATAAATAATTATTTTGGCGTGTTCAACCTACTTTCTTAACTGAGCATCTTGACAGTGTCAGGACAATAATAGAAACAACACAATGACAAGCGTATTGCTACTGGAGCAACCTATGAAGTGTTTGGTGGAGAGTAATGGTCAGAAAAGACAAAGCACTTCTGCAGATCTGGTTCAGAAACAAATCATTGCATTCACTCCACTGATTGTAATCCTAAATTCTCAAAGAAGAGATTGATAGAGTTTGGTCCTTTAGGTGCCATCTTCTGATTCTACTTAAATGTCTCACCTCACTTTGGAATAAAGAATTTTAATCTTAACATGAAGACATTGAAATTACTGAATCAGAGGGAAACAAACTCCAGGAGGCAGGGACTGTGGGTATTGATACCCAGTTCAAAATTAGAGAAACTGGACAAGATTCCCAAAGAACAAAGGTTATGTTGCAGTGTGTTGGAGTGGTGGGAGGAAGTGCTGAGTTGTCCTGTGAACAAGAAAATGCATTGGCTACCTGGTAAGGCTGGAACCCAGTTTTCAACAAAATTGAAGGTGAAGTGAGTAGCTGATTACTATCTTTAAGATTATGAAGAAAATTTCATGAGGGAGATTGTATTAGTCAGGATAGGTAACAGTTGTTAACAACCACCCCCAAAATCTCTGTGTCTAAACACAATAAAAATGTATTGCTTACTCACGTCACAGTCTAATAAGGATTGGGTTGGATTATGGGGAGAGTCTCTGCTTCACATTCATTCAGACACAGACTCTTTCCATTCTGTTGCTCTGCTCTCTCTAGGCCTAAGGAGTCCTCTCCATTCAGCTAGTAGATGGATAAAGAGAAAGAACATGGTGGTTGGCACAAGATGGCCCATAACAACCACTCATACTCCAGCAGGTGTCAGTCTGGGTGGGAAATGTAGTCTAGCTGTTTGCCTAGAAGAAAAAGGAAATGGGATTTTATAAGCATAGTCTCCATTACTAACACACTAAGCAATTTTATTCCCTAACACCAGAAGATGAAACAAACTATAAGCAGAAAAACGATAGGAAGGAGAGCCTTTACTTTCCAGTGCAGAAAATGCCAGAACAAATGAAGAGTTTCTGAAGATCGGTGGCCTCATCTTATTTTGTGCTATAGTCCAAGCACCAAGAGTGCTGGTCCCAGAGTAGGTGCTCACATCACATCTGTTATTAAAAGGACAAGTGGATTTGGAAGCATCTGTGAAGTTTCAATTCCTAGAGTCCTTCAAAAATATAAGGATTTTTTTTTTTTCATCTGCTTCTCTCAGCAAGCAATTTTTTTTTTATTGTTTGAAATTTTTTTTAAAAAAGGGGGGGAAAGAGTATTAGATTATCTCTTTACATTCTGCCTAGGTCTAGGATTTTATGATTCTAAGTCAATTTGTTGTTGGAGATCAAAGTTTCTTAAGCATTCTGCCAGTCACACAAATCACTCTTTCTCAAAGCATTCAGACAATTTAGTTCTATGAGGCCACCCAACATAGTTCATTGCTCCTAACCACATAGTCCTTTTTCGAAAACACATACTTTATATGCTGACACTGCCAAAAAAACATTGCTTTTCTCTTTTAGTAAAGGCTACTTTTATGCCTTTAATTATTATATTGGGTGGAAGAATAGGGATTAGATTAACCTACATTAGTGGGCACAGGATGAGCCACAGTAGCAGTTCCACCAATGAATTCGGGGTGCAGTAATATCTGAGTTTCTGTCTTCCTTGGATATATTTTCTAGGCAGCCAATACATTGAGAGTCCCTGATCTTCTTGATAGAGGGAATGTCAGAAAATGGCCTAAAAAAAATAAGAATCACCTCTATTTTTACCTGGGACAAATTACTTAATCTTTCTGTGC